CACGTCCTGCCTGGTCCTCCCTGTTAGGGTGCGCTTGGTCCCTCTGCACATCCTGCCTGGCCCTCCCTGTTAGGGTGCGCTTGGTCCCTCTGCACTGGAGCAACTGTCAGGAAAAGTGTTTTTGTTCTCATCTTTGTTTTTCAGAAGGGAAGCCAGGGCACGCCTCGCACACGGCTGGTGGGAGCACGGGGCGGCACAGCCACTTGGGAACATAGCTTGGCTTTTCCTCACAAAGCTAAAGACGCTCCTCCCTTCGCTCCAGCCGTCTCTCCTTGGAATTTAGCCGAGGCTGAAAACTTACATTATCACAAAGAAGCATGCATGGGTGTTTACAGCAGCTCCACACACAATAGTCCAAACTGAGAGGCTGGCGGAGGGGGGGCACCCTGAGTTACCAGCATGGCACACTCCTGTGACATGCCCGGGCCCTGGTAGGCACCTGAGAGTCCTCAGAGACGGTGCCCCATCTGATCCACGGGAGGGAGCAGAGAGCAAGTCACACACTGCCATCTTCCCATGATTCTAGTGTTAGAGCAAGCTGTGAGTCCAGCCCTTACCCAGCTGCTGGGAGGGACAGCGAAGGACTTACAGATGGGCCTTTAAACCCCGCTGTCATTCAGCTGCATTCCATTATCTCTAAGTTGGCACTGTCCCCAGCAGTGGCTGCTGGCTGCATGTTGCTCTTGAACATTTGCAATTGGTCCAAGTCGAGATGCACGTAAATATAAATGGAACAGATTTTGAAGATTCGGTATGAAAACAAATGGCAGAATGTTGTTGTTTATTTTACGATATTGCTACGTGTTAAATGGTAGTATACTGCATTTCTATTGAACTGGGCCCTAAAAGCAGAGAGACACTCAAACCAACCTGAACACTGGGGGCCAGGGCCAGGTGGTGGCAGAGGCTGCAGTGACCTGTTTGCAAGCCAAGGGCTTTCAGGAAGAGCTGGCGGCCATCAGAAGCCACGAAACAAGGAAGGGAGTCCACCTACGGACAGATGGGTCCATCTCCTTCAGTATTTTAGAGGTTTATTGACCAGGCTTCTGGGTTTTAATAAAACAGGATTTCACAAACTCTTGATTTAGAATAGTAAGTAGAAAATAGTAAAAATAGATTTCTACTAGAGAACTTCTGAGTCTGCAAATAAGTTTTGAAAAGAGGGAGAGATTGGTGGGGGTGGTGTGGGGAGAGAGAGAGAGGGAGAGAGAGAGAGAGAGAGAGAGAGAGAGAGAATTTTTAATGTTTTTATTTTTTAGTTCTCGGCAGACACAACATCTTTGTTGGTATGTGGTGCTGAGGATGGGACAAGCTGAGTCTGGCTTTGCAGTTAGACTGGTTTGCAGTCCTGCCTTAGGAAGAGATCAGCTGTCTGGGTGCGGTGGCACACTCCTGTAATCCCAGCAAGTTTAGAGTTCAAGGTC